GAGAAAGCAAGTGAATAAATATCGTATTTGTGGACACTCTGCATATATGTCCCAAATTCCCTCTCTCCTTTTGCATACTGAAAGCAAAAACACACTCCTACTAACCTAATGCTTATATTATACAAATGAACAAAACCCTGATTCGAATTAGATGGTATTGATCATCAACCTAACCCTAAAAGCTCTAGTTTGAGCACAGCTTCTTATCGGACTTAGGAGATAATTCTCACGTTTTAAGAGAAAACGTACGATTCCAGCTGAATTTCGTTAAACCTTGTGGTGTTTTACGTTTTACTAGAGAAGAGAAAGTTAGATCTCAATAAAACACGTCAATTATAGTTTTTCTAAATCTCAAAATAATAATAAGAAAGAAACGACATTGAATTGTTTATAGTCCTTGCTCTTTCTTCGTTGCATCCCTCATCCTTTCTCTTTCTTTGCCTCCAACTCCTGCAAACATAACATGATGGTGAGATCACAAGTGGATGTTACGAATCATGCACACATCTTTTTGTTTATCTTTTCCTTCTCGTATGCCTAATCCAATACTATATTTTTTACTACCGTAGATCCAAAAGCATAACATCATTTTAACTACGCCTCCAAAAGTTGGCTTGTATTCCCAAATCTCCTCTAAAGAGTGAACAAAGAAAACACAAAGACGTTAAGAGTTATGATATTTGCTTTGACTACTCTCCAATATTTCCCTTCTTCTTAATTCTTCTGTGACATCCTAAAATTTAAGAGCCAAACTAGTAACTTTTAAGGAAGAAGAATAACTTAATCATCAATATTAGACACTCACTGATTCTCTGACTGAAATTAGGCAAGGAAAATAAATCGCGAGTCGTCCCAATTGATCTCCTTCTGATGATATTATGCTGCAAGTTTTTCGAATGGGATTTTAACAAAGAATAAACATAAAAAAAACTCATTGGATTTTTAATTTTGCATTACCTGCGCAATAGCGGATCTCTCAAGAAACCGCATGATCGGAAATTAGGGTTAGGGTTTGCTCTCTGTTCGTCTCCTCTTCCTTAGAACCTACTTGTTCTCCCTTTTATAAAATCAATGATCTCGGTTCCAGGCTTGTCTTGCAAGACTTTCTCCGAACTGGGGTTCAAGAAATTTTAGAAAAATAAAATATGTAACCGAAAAATCTAGGGTAAAAATTCATGTAAATCAAAATGTTACTTTCCCATCAAGAA